TGTGCGCCCGGTGCCAGCGTACAAAACCGTTACCTGTCGTCCGTGGCGCGGTTTCGACGGCGATGTCTTACGCGAAAATCTGCAGTAGTCCTGACCATGTCGGCTTGATTCATCGTTGGCACTATCAGTCAACGACCTAGAGCAACTTACAACACCGAGCTGACACGCACAGTTTGAGTACCCCAACGAGTCTCCGACCCACGATTCGATGATGAATGTCGAGGCTCGAAGCGGGGGATTCGACCGCTCCAGCGGGCTGTCTTCCGGGCGAACAGACGCGGCAAACCCTGCTGCTACCGCTGCTGTGGCCTCTACCTGGCGAGATGCGCGGCGCAATTATATCGAATTTCTTCGTTCTGAAAGAGAGTCATTCGGCCCCAGAGGGTCGACGCGCCACGCAGCAATCCTCGAGCGCTGTAGCGTTTGCTGGAAAAACTCATGGGAAGAGTTCATACAGAGGCTTCGGGTGACGTAAGCGTGGAGGAATTCCATGCGATTTTTGAAGGCGAAATTTTTGCTGTGCGAGCAACGTCGGCCGAAGCTCCACCGGCAGCATTTGTCTCGTACCCGTTCGACTGTGTGCTCCAAGAATTCATTCGCGTCACAGCTGACGACGCCATCGATGCAGTGCGCGCTGCCCAACAAGCATTATGCCAGCGAAACGCTGCCGACGTCGTTACTTAAAGGGAATGTTGTAACCCTAGCACATTTTCTTGTCGAACTTTCCAACCGCTGCCTCACTGACGGTGTTGTTCCGATGAATTTCAAATCGTAATGTAGAGGCGTACATTACGCCTCTATTAAAAAAACAGACCTTGACGCGTCCGATCCCAAATCATATCGACCCATCTCCAACTTGTCGATTTTGTCGGAACTCCTATAACGCGTTGTGGGGCGACAGCTAAACAACCATCTTCAGCAGTCCGGTCTCATGCCTCGCCTATAGTCTGCATACCGTCATCTCCACTCGACGGAAACCGCTGAGCTGAAGGTGCTTTCAGACATTCAGCGCGCAGTAGACCGTGGCGACATAGCGGCACTAGCTTTACTCGACCTGTCGGCCGTATTTGACATGGTCGACAACGCCACTTTGTTGCGTCGTCTTGACATATCATTCGGGCTGCGCGGCACAGTGCTGCTGTGGTTCGAGCCTTCTCTCAGCAATAGATTCCAATGCCTTCGATGCGGGAACTCTTCTTCTGCGCCATTGTTGGTCACTTGCGGCGTACCACAGGGATCAGTTCTCGGACCGATCCTCTTCCTGTTATATACTGTCGACATATTGCATATAATCGAATCCCATAGTTTGAATCCGCATGTGTTAGCCCGAATTAAATGCTACGGTGCTCAGACTGGATGCGCTTCAACCGGCTCCAGCTCAATGCATCAAAAACCGACTTTTTCATTTGGTTTGCGACTACTCGGCGCCAGCATCTGCTTCCGGCCAACCATGTTCGCGTGGGCAACGAGTTGGTCATGCTTGCGTCCGCAGATCGCAATCTGGGCATTCTGCTGGACTGGAACATTCAATGAACAGTCACATAGCCAAAGTCACCACCGTTTGCTTTGGCGCTCTGCGACGAACACGTAACATCAGCCGCTGTCTTTCGCGGCCGGTCCTTGATGCCCTTGTGGTGGCGCTCGTTCTGGCCAGATTGGACAATGGTGATGCCACACTTTATGGACTTTCGACCTCGGCACTTGTAATAAACTGTAATCCGTAATGACCGCTGCTGCTCGACACGTGTGCAATAAGCAAAAATTCGACTATGTGACGCCGACATTGCGCGATCTTCACTGGCTGCGTATTCAGTAGCGCACGCAATTCGACGTCACTGTTCTGACGTTCCGATGTCTTCACGGTCTGGCGCCTCTTTATCTCAAGGAACTTCTGCAGCGCGTGTCGGATCTGCCTTCTAGAAGACGATTACGCTCGTCATATACAAGGGACCTCGTCGTATCATCCATACGTCTAACTTCGTTAGACTTAATAATTAGTTTACTTCTTAATAGATCTTAAGATGGAACATTCTTCATTTAAATTGACCATCCTTGAAGACCAATTTTAATTTTCAACACGCATAACAAAACTCAAATTAGAATAGAATAGAAGTGTCGGCGTTGAAGAAATAGGCCCATGGCCTGTTTCAGATTCTTGAACTTTTCGTGACTTGATTCACAAGGGATCCGGCCTTTGGAACCCGATCTTTCCTTAGCTGACGATTGATTGAGATAGCTGCTGGACTTATTGCCTGGTCCGTAGTTTGCTAGGCATTTTAAGGCTGAACATATGCTCAACGCTAGACACAGCTTCTGGCAGATCGTTTATAAACGCAACGAATGGAATAGGCCCGAGAACGCTTCCTTGTGGCTTGACTTGATCTCAAATGCTATCCTATGAGCCTGAAATTTTAAACAACACCAAAGCGACTGAAAAGCAGAACAAGACATTGTGCCTTCGATCAGAGAAAAAAGTGAGACTGTTCGAATAGAGATGCACTTTTTGCTTATGAGTGAGCCATCAATAACTAACATTACAATACATAACATTATCAATAACATTACAATACATAATAACATCAATAAAATTACATTACATAATAACTTTTATAGCATTACAAGACATAATATCATCAAAAACATTACAATACATAACATTAATGGCAACGCAAATTTAATCCATTATCTGCTTTGTACTTTTCTCAAGTCAAATTCTATTCCTATTTCTAAATTACAACATTATTAACAAATAGATAAGCACCTTTTTTGTGCCAATAATTCCTCAAAGAAAAAATTCCTCACTGATTTATTGGACATTCCTGCTGTGCTCTTGGACACTCTTTTCAATAATTGGACACTCCTTTTAATTGCACACTCCTGCTGATATATCCCGGGAGGCTTTAAGGTTTGGTCTATAATTATTTTGTCTATATTACTTCCTAATGGGAAATGTGTGCGTAGGAATAGTTTTAAATTGCAGCCTATCCAACGGTCATGGCTTCCACATTTATTTGCTCGATATAACTTCGTCGAATGTTTGCCGAGATTGTGTGTTGTCGACTGTTAATTTCTGATTATTCATTTACGCTTACCTTGGTAAGTCAGGAGGTCCGAGCTTGTCCACTAGGTGGGTGAGATCTGAATATTATGCCAGATCTTAGATGTGGATCTTTGGACATGATGCGGCATCTGCCTCAGCGTTCTACCATTGATACAAAGTGCAGTGACCGTCAAGACACTTCGCCTGTTATTGGTCAACTCCATTCCTTGTCCTTTGCGATATCCAAGCCTGGTGGATTATAGAATAACTTTGTTGCGTCAGTATTAGTTACTTTTCTGAACCATTCAATTTGTTATGACACTTC